TCTATTGGTCTCCGTGTGAGTCTATGGGTATCTGTGTGAGTCTATGGGTCTCTAACATATTTTTACCGTGATGATGAGAGTGAGACACGCAAACTACAACAATACAGCATGCGTCAGCGTCGGGATTGAACCCACGACCTCCTGCCTTCCAGGCGAGGGAGTTTACATAAGACACCTCGTGTCCACCGAGGAATGCGTGGGGTTTGCCTTGACATGTGCCAAGCGGGGATCTCACCTAAAGCTACGCTGAGGTCACCGTTTTGCTCAGAAGTTATAAGAGGAGCCGTGTCAGCACGGCTGGAATTCTGAGTTCGAATATCCAAGTTTCATCCACTGCCTGCGATAAAAACTAAAATCGGCGTTCTCAAGCGCGGTGAGTTTGTGGTCTCAGCGTGGTCACCTATGAGATCGATCTAAATTATGGATTTCAATCGGATCATTGGAGGGGGGGGCACGTGCCAACCCCCCCCCCCCCCCCCACCTGGCTCCGCTAGTGCGAAGCTACGAGGTTAGAAATATTTGATAAAATAAAATAAATTTTTTATTAAAAACATAACATCCCACGGGGCTTTTGTGGAATGAATGACACACGTGGCGTTTTGGCGTTACCACTGTGCCAACATATTCCACCCCCCTCCACACCCACCCCAACACGTTCTGCATTCGCGTTGTCGTTATCGTTGTTGTTGTTGCAGTACACTTATTTATTTTGTTCTAGATTTGAAGCTTTCGTGACTGCAAGGATTCATATTCTTGGGTTTTTTCGGTAAAGTCACTGTGTAGGTAAAAAATTAAAATGAATAAAAGTAAAATAAAAATCAAATAAAAATCAGACGTTTCGGAGGCAACACAAGCTTCCGTCTTCAGGTGGAACCGTCACAGCACGATTGCTGTATCAAGTGAGAGCTGTATCAAGTAAAATAGTTGTATCAAGTAATACAGCTATCGTGCTGTGACGGTTCCACCTGAAGACGGAAGCTTGTGTTGCCTCCGAAACGTCGTGATTTTTTTTTTACTTTAATTAATTACAATTGTACTCGTTTTATTTTGTCCGCACGTAAGCGGTTATGTAACCGGCAGTCTCTGGCATCTGGACGGTGATATCAGCAGCACTGTCTGGCACCTGGAGGTGATGAAGGCCGGCAAAAGGAGCTTTTCAAAAAGTAAAAATCACGCAACATCAAAGCCTCTTTACTCTTTGGTTCTTTCGGTAAAGTCACGTAGATGAAAAATAATAACAATAAAATGAAAATGACAAAAAAAAACAGGTATATTGATGATTTTCGATTTAAAGCTTTCGTGACTGCAGAGATTCATCTTCTTGGTTCTTTCGGTAAAGTCACGTAGAAGGGAAATAATAAAAATACTAAAAATAAAACGTAATAAAATACAATTCTCACGACGTTTCGGCCACAACGCAAGCAGCCATCCTCAGGTGAAGAACAGACCTGAAACGTCGTTAGAATTGTATTATGTTTAAGTTTTTTATTTTATTTTATTACTTCCCTTCTACGTGACTTTACCGAAAGAACCAACAAGATATATTGATGATATTGATGTAGTTGATGTAGTATTGATGTAGTTTATATTTTAGTTTTTTACGTGATGGTTTGGTTGCTGCAGCTCCTTACTCTTAAAATTCCTTCCCTTTATGACTGCTAATCCTACGTAATACACGAGCATAATATGACTTTGAGACCCCCCCCCCCCCACCACCGACACATTCCACAAGTAGTGACTAATCCCATATCTTTATTTTCCATAAATATGCTAAATTCATCTGTTGATATGCAAATTCCTTTGTCAAGGCGCCCTCCCCCTCCAACCCAACTTAAATATACGCTGCCAAGCTTGGTGGTGTTCATTCAGACGCCGTCTTTCCGACAACCCTGTTCTTCACCTGAGGACGGCTGCTTGCATTGTGGCCGAAACGTCGTGAGAATTGTATTTTATTATGTTTTATTTTTAAAATTGTATTATTTCCCTTCTGCGTGACTTTACTGAAAGAACCAAAGAGTATGGATCCTTGCAGTCACGAAAACTTCAAATCTCGAATCAAAGCCTCTTGTTTACCACCTGGCATAGGCTACAGGTGAGGTTTTACAGCAGAGGTGTCACTCCGAATCAGTCGGGCGGAATTATCTTTTCATCAGCTGCTCAATGCTGTGTGGAAGCTACCTGGTCTGTCGCTCCGCACGAAGCTTCGGGTCTTCTCGGCCACAGTCATTCCCTCCCTTCTCTACGCCTGTGAAACGTGGACCACTCAAATGGAAGATCTTCGCCGGTTAGAAACATTTTGGCTGGCCTGCCTACGATCCATCCTGGGTTTAACCAGCTGGCTGTATTGCGTGAGGAGCTCACAAATCCTTGAAAGATCTGGGCAAAGTCCCATCGGTGAGCTCCTCCAGCAGGCAAGGCTGCGTTGGCTGGGTCATGTAGCCCGCATGCCCAGCCACCGCATGCCTAAACAGCTTTTGTTCGGCCGGATCGAGGGGGCTAAACGGGCGCGGCACGGGCTAGAGAAGAGATGGAGTGATGTGGTACAGGAGGACGTGGAGCTGAGTGGACTTGCCGATGACTGGTACCAGCGGTGTCAAGATCGGCCTCTATGGAGGAGGCTCGTGAAGGACGCTACTACTGGGCAGTTGGAGGCAGTCGCCCTCCAACAACAACGGAGGGCGGAGGAGCGACGCTCACAACAACGAGCGGAGTGCCGGGCGTCTAAAATTGAGCAATTTGGTACAGTAGGGGGTACAGCTGTTGCATCTACCGGTCATCTCACTCAGCCAGCCCATGGCACGTGGGTCTGTTCCGAAACCTCCTGTCAGCGAGCCTTGAACACTTCACGTGGCCTAAAAGTGCACCTAGCCTGGCACAGGCGCCGTGGTGACGTCACCACCACTTAGTGGCGAATGGCGGATATCGGTTTTGTTATTGGTGGGAGGCGAATTCCCAAGTGGAGCAGTGGTGAAGGAAGAAGCAACAGGACAGACCATGTCGTTATTGCCAAAAAGGGTAACAAAAAACACCTTTTTGGTTCTTTCGGTAAAGTCACGTAGAAGGGAAATAATAAAATAATAGGTGAGGACGGCTGCTTGCGTTGTAGCCGAAACGTCGTGAGAATTATTTTATTATGTTTTATTTTTACTATTTTATTATTTCCCTTCTACGTGACTTTACCGAAAGAACCAAGAAGATGAATCCCTGCAGTCACGAAAGCTTTAAATCGAAAAAAACACCCGTTCTTATTTTCGATGCTTTGATCCTGGCAACAAACATAACATTTCGATACTTTGCTAGGTTGTTTAATTTAGTGTGTTCTTTCCCCCTCTAAGCCTGCGTACTTTACTACGCGTCTCTTCGTATTCATTGACATGTAAATTTTTTATCTGCCCCCTCCCTCTCTCTGCCTCCGCCCCCCTCTGTCTATTTAAGGCCACCCCACAGAGACGATCACCCCTCTCTGTACCTGTGTTACTCTCTCTCTGTGTATCTTGCTGATATCTGTCTGCTTATATGTCTGTCTGTGGTTTTCTGGTTAGATTTTGTGTCGCTATTTCATTATACCTGATGATGATTGTTTGTGTTGCAATCGAAACGTCGTATGCTATTATTTAATTTATTATTTTATCTTTATACGTCACTTTACCGAACGAACCAAAGAATAAATAAAACAAGTTCCCCATGCTGTAGAGATTCCGGGGCAATGCGTAACGCGAGCCCCCGACGCTCATCCACACCATGCGTTTGAACAACAGCTGAGACCAACCATTCCCAATTGAATCATCGTTCCCAAGCGTAACGATTCGCACGTGTTACGGGGCGCGGTTCCATCCGCAGATGCAAACCAACGCAGCACCATGTGTGTGGATAGCAGCGAATGAACAGAGCCTGCAGGGTGAACGGCCAGTTAGGATCAGTGTACCCACCCACTCACTCACCCACTCACCTATTCACTCACCTACTCACTGACCCACTCACCTTCTCACTCACTCACTTACTCATTCACTCACTCACCCACTCACTCACCCACTCACCTACTCACTCACTCACTCACCTACTCATTTACTCACTCACCTACTCACTCACCCACTCACCTACTCACTCACCCACTCACCCACTCACCTACTCACTCACTCACTTACTCATTCACTCACTCACCTACTCAATCACCCAATCACCCACTCACCTATTCACTCACCTACTCATTCACTCACTCACCTACGCAATCACCCAATCACCCACTCACCTTCACCTATTCACTTACCTACTCACTCACCTATGCAATCACCCACCCATTCGCTCACTGACCTATTCACTCACTCACCTATGCACTTCTTCACTTACTCATTCACTCACCTACTCAATCACTTACTTACTCACCGACTCACTCACCTACTCAATCACGCACTCACTCACCTACTAACTCACCTACTCACTCAAAAAAGACAAAGATCCCCCGTATAGCCTGAACAGACTGTAGAGGGCAAGTGTTGCTAGTGAGCAGCAGCTATGAAGGCCGGCACGACACGCGAGGGGGGGCTGGGTGGCAAGCACCACGCCCGGCCGCCTTTGTCTCCCCTAGTGGCGAAGTTTACACACCTGCACTAAGATATTCATTTGAGGCTGAGTCTACATAGGGGAGGCCCAGGACCGGTTCAGATAGTCGTCACTGGGCGTTGGCGGCCGTGAGCGGGAACGAAAACTCGGGTCGCCGGGTTCGTAGCAGCAGCTGCTGGACACTGACCACTGACACCGCCGCTCAGCACTCGCACACAGCACACAAAGACAAAGGTCCCCTGTATAGCCTTAACAGCCCGTAGGGGCAAGTGCTGTTAGCGAGCACCTATGAAGGCCGGAACGGCACCACGCGCCGCCGCCTTTGTCTCCCGCAGTGGCGAAGTTGACTACACACCGTATTCGGGACTCATTCAAGGCTGAGTCGACCTAGGGGAGGCACAGCACACACGCGGCCGCACACAGACGCGCAACAAACTTACACCCGTGTCGTGGTGGCTGCTCGAGGCCATGCTGGATGAGGACGATGATCCAGGGTTGACGTCAGCTCCGTGTCCACCACTGGTTGAGAGAGAGACACACAGAGAGACACACAGAGAGAGACACAGAGAATGAGAGACACAGAGTGAGACACAGAGAGACACAGAGAGAGAGACACACAGAGAGAGAGAGAGACACACACAGAGAGAGACACACACAGAGGAAGAGACAGAGAGAGAAAGAGACACACAGAGAGAGACACAGAGAGAGAGACACACAGAGCGAGACAGAGACACACAGAGAGAGAGACACACAGAGAGAGAGACACACACACAGAGAGACACAGAGAGACACACACAGAGAGAGAGAGACACACAGAGAGAGACACACACACAGAGAGACACAGAGAGAGACACAGAGAGAGAGAGAGACACAGAGAGAGAGAGACAGAGAGAGTAACTCAGTTGTAACGTCTTGCAAGGATCGCTCTCCCCCCCACCTCTCGTTTTACAATTTGCAATTTGGTGGCAAAGGTGGTGGGTGGCAAGGGTGGTGGGTGGCAAGCGTGGTGGGTGGCAAGGGTGGTGGGTGGCAAGGGTGGTGGGTGGCAAGGGTGGTGGGTGGCAAGGGTGGTGGGTGGCAAGCGTGGTGGGTGGTACAGAAGGGGGTTCCTGTGTTCGATTCCAGACCTGCGGCGTTCCTTTTGTGTTATGGAGTCTGTGAGTGGGACTTTGTCTCCCGAGTGGCCGTGCATATATACAAAGACAAAGAACTCCCGTATAGCCTGCACATACTGTTGGTGTGGGTGGCCTGAAACCGCGCCCGGCCACCTACAAATAGACACCCATCCACACACACACACACTCGCACGGCACGCTACATTATGCCCAACGCCTACGGCGTTCGAATAGTGTCGGGGAATGGAATCCAGATTCCAAATTCCCTTCCGGGCTGTGTCTAAAGCATTCTAGTTTTGAAGCTTTCGTGACTGCAAGGATTCATACGCTTAGTTCTTTCGGTAAAGTCACCGTGTAGGTAAAAAAATGAAATTAAAATTAATAAAAATAAAATAATAAAAATCACGACGTTTCGGAGGCAACACAAGTCTCCGTCAATCAGGTGGGACCGTCACAGCCAGATTTGCTGCATCAAGTGAGACCTCACTTATCAAGTGACACTTATCAAGTGACACTAAACAAGTGACACTTATCAAGTGACACTTATCAAGTGACACTTATCAAGTGACACTTATCAAGTGATACTTATCAAGTGACACTTATCAAGTGATACTTATCAAGTGACACTTATCAAGTGACACTTATCAAGTGACACTTATCAAGTGACACTTATCAAGTGACACTTATCAAGTGATACTTATCAAGTGACACTTATCAAGTGACACTTATCAAGTGACACTTATCAAGTGACACTTATCAAGTGATACTTATCAGAGTGAGGCTGAGTTGACCTGATACAGCAAATCTGGCTGTGACGGTCCCACCTGATGACGGAGACTTGTGTTTCCTCCGAAACGTCGTGATTTTTATTTTTATTATTTTATTTTTTTCCTTTGGTTCTTTCGGTAAAGTCACGTATAAAGATTAAATAATAAATTAAATAATAGAATACGACGTTTCGATTGACGTTTCGATTTAAACGTCGTATTCTATTATTTAATTTATTATTTTATCTTTATACGTGACTTTACCGAAAGAACCAAAGAATAATTCCTGCAGTCACGAAAGCTCCAAAATTAAGATTATTTTATTTTTCATTAATTTTAATTTCATTTTTTTACGTATGTGTCTAAAGCACTTGCGGCATCACCGCCGTCAACGCCGATGAGTCGTGGCAAATTCGAAGCGTCCGAAGCAGCTGACGAGTAGAGACAGCCGAGGCATCAAACACATTGTTCCACGTGCGGGTGGGTTGACATTTCACATCCGGGCAGAGCACGTGACCTCGCCCACGTGTCCAGGCCTCTGTGACGTAGCGAACGTGGGAGGTGAGCACGGGGGGGGGTGGTGTCACCCCCACCACCCCCACCACCCCCACCACCACCCCCACCACCACCCCCACCACCCCCACCACCACCACCACCCCCACCACCACCCCCACCACCCCCACCACCACCCCCACCACCTCCACCACCACCCCCACCACCACCCCCACCACCCCCACCACCACCACCACCCCCACCACCACCCCCACCACCCCCACCACCCCCACCACCCCCACCACCCCCACCACCACCCCCACCACCACCCCCACCACCTCCACCACCACCCCCACTACCCCCACCACCCCCACCACCCCCACCACCACCACCCCCACTACCCCCACCACCCCCACCACCACCCCCACCACCACCACCACCACCCCCACCACCACCACCACCCCCACCACCACCCCCACCACCACCCCCACCAACCACCCCACCACCACCCCCACTACCCCCACCACCCCCACCACCCTCACCACCACCACCCCCACTACCCCCACCACCCCCACCACCACCCCCACCACCACCACCACCACCCCCACCACCACCACCACCCCCACCACCACCCCCACCACCACCCCCACCACCCCCACCACCACCCAGAGGTCGCAAACGGGTTTTGATTCCTTAACCCTACCCGTACCCGGCCGCACCAGGGTAGGGTACGGGTATCGGGTACCCGATTGCGACCTCTGGGATGAAGCCATGTTGCAGGCGCGGGTGGGTTGATTCTAGGAACTTGAATTGTCACGAGATTTAGGACGATTTTTTGACCCCGCCCCCCCTCAAATATGACGTCACAAAGCTCTTCCCCCCCCCCCCCCCAAAATAAAAATTCTTCAAATCGCTTTAAACTATTGTCATTGTGGTGCGTGTTTAATGTGGCGCTGCACTCTGATGTTGTAGGAGAAAACATTTATTACAAAGTCTATTCAATTAAGTAGAACGTGTTGTCTATATTTATTTAAAGTTGCGCATTTTTACGTGACGTCACATTTCTCAAACCCCCCCCTCCCCCCCTCGTCACACATCGTCACAAATGTCTGACCCACCCCCCCCCCCCTAGGTGCGTGACGTCATTTATGGACGGCCCCATACCCACGGGACAACCTCTGCTGAGGTTCACTCGAGCAAAACGAGACGTCCTCCATCTATCACCCCAGCCCGCCCCTTCCCCCCGGATGGAGGCTTGTTGATGATTGTTGATGATTGTTGATGATTAATTCTAGATTTGAAGTTTTCGTGACTGCAATGATTCATACTCTTTGGTTTATTCGGTAAAGTCACGCGGGTAAAACAATTTAAAATATTTCGATTTAAAGCTTTCGTGACTGCAGGGATTCATCTTTTTGGTTCTTTCGGTAAAGTCACGTAGAAGGGAAGTAATAAAATAATAAAAATAAAACAAAATAAATTAATTAAAATTCGATTTAAAGCGTTCGTGACTACAGGGATTCATCTTCTTGGTTCTTTCGGTAAAGTTACGTAGAAGGGAAATAATAAAATAATAAAAAGAAAACATAATAAATTAATTAAAATTCGATTTAAAGCTTTCGTGACTGCAGGGATTCATCTTCTTGGTTCTTTCGGTAAAGTCACGTAGAAGGGAAATAATAAAATAATAAAAAGAAAACAAAATAAAATAATTCTCACGACGTTTCGGCCACAACACAAGCAGCCGTCCTCAGGTGAAGACCAGGTCTGTCGAGGCGACAGCGTCTAAAGCGTGGTGGTGTTTCATTTAGACACTGTCGCCTCGACAGACCTGGTCTTCACCTGAGGACGGCTGCTTGCGTTGTGGCCGAAACGTCGTGAGAATTATTTTATTATGTTTTATTTTTTATTATTTTATTACTTCCCTTCTACGTGACTTTACCGAAAGAACCAAAGAGTCGGTATGAATTAATTCTTCAGAAGCGACCTGGACGCAAATCATCGCTCAATGAAGTGGCTTATCCCGTGGAAATGTTCTAGCAAGCGAAATCATCTAAATAACATCAGTGGGCGTTGCTTAATGTGAATGAGCCACTCCGTAGACCTGTCATTTAATGATGGTCAGATCTAATAATAGGGGTTTTTCCCCTTTTTTCAGGCAACTAAACTGAAACCTTTTTACCAGGATTCATGTCTGCATTAACCACAATACTTGCGGTCAAAATGCAAACAAAAAACACGCTCTGATAATTAATGCATTGTCCTTGAAGCTGATTGGTCCACACCAGAGACAGCTTTCTTTTGAGCCTCGTCTTGAGACGAGACATGAATTCTTGTAACAAGTATAACCCGTAAAAACAAAGTTTTTCACTATAAATCCCTCCCCCCCAATATATTGATATGAAATAGATTTCTGTTCATATGATTGTGGTTATGGTTGTACTTTATAAATCCCTAATATCTACCATTACATACAATGAAACAAAAAAAGGTAAAAAAATCAAACAAAGCAATGTAATACAATACACTATTAGACATTATTGTAAAAAATAAATAAATAAAGTCGATCCTATGTGTTAGTGAATTTTATTTAATATTTTAAAAATTTATATTCGCACTTAAACTTTAGTGATTTTAATAATAGAATCAGTTTAAATCAAACAATCCGGAGGCGCTAATATCCTTCACGTGGCAGTTAAGAAACACGTATTCACGACACAAAAAAATTAACCCGTAAAAACAAAGTTTTCCACTATAAATCCTTTATATGCGTGGCGGCTAGAGTCCTCTCGTCCTCTGGCTTGAGATGGCTGCCACCTATGGGTCAGATGATTGCATTGCACCATTAAGCAATTGGTAATTAAATATAATATTTTTGTCCTAATAAGTGTAAAATTTTGAAAAAAAATTGTCACGCACGACGAGTCTGTGTGGAAAATGTCAGCTCGATTAGATCACGGGAAGTGGGCTAAAAAACGACCGAAAGATTTGCACGGTCCTAAGCAAGCAAGCAAGCGAACTTAATATAAAGGATTAAAAAAAGGTTTCAGTTTTGTTTCCAGAAAAAAGGGAAAACCCTTATTATTATATTTCGGTACTGGCAAACGGAGGTCTATTGTTGATGATTGTTGATTGTGCAGTCACC